TCTTCCCCGGAGTAGCAGGGTTGGTCAATTTAACGATTAATGCCTAATTATTGCAGTCAATGATCGATGAGGATGCGCCGGGGTCTTACGCGAGTCGCCGATCGGTCGGCGAAGACGATTTTTATTTTCTAGAAATATACGCTCTCTATGATTTTTATCGAGAGGATATTGACGCAGGAATTGTTTAAAACCGACAGGTTTGGTCGATTGTTGCATTGGGATGTTCGGGGAGCGATTTCGTTTCTCGAAAAAATTTTGTACCATGAGGACGATAAAAAAGCGCCGTGTGCTTTTATTGAAAGATTAGAGTAAAAATCTAATAGTAAAAATCTAATATTTTAGGTTAGAAATCTATACTAAAAATCTAATACTAAAAATCTAATATTTTAGATTAAAAGTCTAATACTAAAAATCTAATATTTTAGACTAAAAGTCTAATACTAAAAATTTAATATTTTAGATTAAAAGTCTAATACTAAAAATCTAATATTTTAGAGTAAAAGTCTAATACCAAAAATCTAATATTTTAGTTTAAAAATCTAATATTAAAAATCTAATATTTTAGATTAAAAGTCTAATACTAAAAATCTAATATTTTAGATTAAAAGACTAATACTAAAAATCTAATATTTTAGATTAAAAATCTAATATTTTCAATTAAAAATATATATCTTAGATTATCTATAATATCTTAGATTAAAAATGTAATAATTTTCGAATAAGAAGCAGGACTTCAACGAGCATAAGTTATCGAAGCTACCAGAAATGTGTAAAAAAAACCGATAGAACAATAGATCTTTAAACGATATCCATTGGAAAAATCGTGTTTAATTTTCTCGCGAAAGAGAAAATCGCTTCTTCGACCAATAGAATGAAACAGTTTTCAATCTGCCAAGCGGAGACGCAGCTTCAGCCGGGAACGGGTTGTTTGAGATACCCTTATCAAACGTTAACACGCCCGCTAACGTATTCGACGTAAGTCGGATGAGGAACTTCGCGTATAAAACACCGTATCCGACTTTGGTCTTGTTAGATCGCGGCCAGACGAACGCCGACCAGGTTGTCTGCGGTTTAACGCATTACGGTCTTTCTTCCGGAAGTTGGCCGCGCGGCAAGATTAAATCTACGCGCGATATTAAAACGTTCCTTTCATCCTCGCGTAATCGATAATAAAGAAATCAGCCTCCCGGAGCTACGATCGCCATCCACGAACTCGTCCGAGATAGGTTGCATTAACTATGAGCTGGAAAACTTCGAGCGGAGAACAGCCAAACTTATTGTTTAATTATTAACACGTTGATGTGTGCGCGATGATTTTGGGGATGCGTCGTTCGTTTCGCGTGTTGTTTTATATAGCAATTGGATATTATCGCGAATTATACGTGAGCGAATAAGTCGAATAATAAATCGAATAAAAATACGTCTACGTGACAATTGATCCGAGCAAGATCGTGGTTGAATAAAAATTAATTGGAATTTATTTGACGATTTAAGCCTTCCGAGTAAAATAGCTTTTTTTTAAAAAGACCACGTTCACAAATGGTTGACGATAAATACTATCATTAATCGCAGTGAATTAATATTGACACTGACATTAATATTGACATTAATATCGAATTAACATCGACATTAATATCGAATTAACATCGAATTAAACGATCGTCTCTAAAAAAACTCTCAATTCTCCCAAGTCTGAAAAAATTGAGAATACAATTCGAACATTGCGGAACATCGTTTTCTCTAACTCTTTGCACCCCTGGCGCCACTAAAATGATTATATCACGTTCCAAGATAACTTTCATATCATCAAAGCATAGATTTAAGAAATCTATATTAAAAGTGTAATTGTTACACGAGTCACGAAACTCAATTTCATAAGCATAAAGTGCACGTTGTTATACAAAGCAATAATTCCGACAATAAGTCAAAGTTAAATTATTTTAGATTTACAGTTAAAATGGCATCGAGCGCAAAGTGTTAAAAACTCTCTCTTCCAAGTAGATGAAATTAATTGTTCGATATCGTTCCTCCGAACATCGCTTTTCCAATCAAGAACAATACAACGAACACTTTGTGACGTCGGAGTAGTCGAGACGATAATTAAAAAAAATCCAAAGCGAACGCGACGTCGCGCGTTAACCGTGTGCAAATCGATCCGTGTATCGAGGCAGAGCTCGCAGAGGAGAGACACGGGCGTGCGACGAAACGGTAATTAATTAAAAAGAAGGCGCTCCGTTGTCGGTCGCATTCCGTTCGACGACTTTTCGCAGCAGCGGGGCGGCATAACAAACGAGAAGGAACTGGCAATGTGGGTCAAGATCGACCCCGGGGCTGCCGAGAGAGGTATTAATCGCTTCCATCGGCGGGTCTCGGAGCGGGCGGACTGGAAGAGGCCGGGGGTTCGTTCGTTCGGTATCTGGGTATCTCGGGTAGCAGGTTCCGAATCGATATCTCCACTTTTAACCGTGTCTCCTCCCGATTATTATCCCCGTAACGCGGTGAATTGGCCTTCTATCCATTTCCGGGTAGGAAGCCGACGCCGGCCGGGCCCCGGGGTCAAAGGCACCGGCCGACAATTAGGATCCCGGTTCTCGAGGGCTGGAGGAAGAGGACGTGTCCCTGTCCCTGTCCCGGAAAGAGAATCCGCGCCCGATAAAGGTGCCCAACGGAGAACATAAATTCGACGATCGTGCCTTTGTGGATCGGGACGGCGAGCCGGCGGAACTTTAGGGCCAATCTCGGTGGGTGGTGCTCTTCCTCTCTCTCTCTCTCTCTCTCTCTCTCTCTCTCCCTTTCTCTCTTTCTCTCTCTTCCTTTCTCTATTTCTCTCGCTCCTCGGCTTTCCTCGCTCGAGGACGAACGATCCTCCGATCTCCGAAGAGAGGAGCTCTTTTCACCAGCCGGAGAGAACGCGGCCCGCTATTCTCTTCCTAAAGACTTCCCAGAGACTCCTTTCGCGGCGCGTAACTTTTCCTTCGAGCCCGCCCACCCTCGCCACCCTTGTCCCCGTCCTCGTCCTCTCGTGCTCGTCCGAGGAGAACGCTCGTATCGGGAGGTGGCCGCGAATAAATCCGTTTCGTTCCTGCTGGCCAGGCTCTCCTACACCTTCCCACCAACCCTCGGCGAGAGCACAGGCTCAACGGTGGATGACTCGCGGCCCTCTAACCACCCCTAACGCAGCCCCCAACCCTTGCAGTCGCAGCTATTCTAATACGAGATATTCACGGCGTTTCTCTTTGTTTCTTTATTTCTTTTATTCCAACGAGATGCAATTTTCGAAGAACATTTTTGAGACATTGCTTGGTAAATTAGTTCTTCCAATTTCTCTGAGAAATTGTGTAAAATTATATCGTTTTTGAAAACAGATTATTCCGTTTGAAAAGATGTGCGAGTATTGATTAAAATTTCATATTAATATTAACGCTTTAATGGCCGCACGCGTCTACGTAGCGAAACGTCGCCAGGGGCTGCGGCAATGTTTATGTAAATTCGTGAAATAATTCGACACGAACATACGTATAAAACAAAAAGAACTGCAACGACAATAACGACACGTTTAATGTACGATAAATTTAATATTCTTCCTTTGTGCGATAATTATCGTCCGCGTAATTATTAGAGCATCGCAAACATGTTGCGTGAGCGGCCATTAAAGTATTAAAAATGTCATATTAAATGCTAATATTGATCAGCGAGTTGAATATAACGCGCAGACATCGTTAAACGTTTCCAATATTTTCGTCGTTCGAACCGGTCGCCGTTTCTTTGTCGCGAACGCGCGAAATCCGCAGACCGGCTGGCAATAAAAATGAATCTCGAAAGCAAGTCGATCGTTGGTGGCACCCATGCGTGGACCAACAACGTCGCGACCCTCGCGACGTGTCAACGTTGCAAACATGCGGCAACAATAAAGTAACCCCCTTCGGTACGGCCGAGTTTGATGCATAATGCACGCACGGTAGCAGCCGAGTCGCGAACTACACCGTGAATGAGTAATGTGCGTTGCGATAATACTTCGAAATTGCTCGAACGTTTTTGCTATTTTGCATTCGACTTAGGCGATTTCGTCGCGTCTAAAAACCGCGTCCTACGGTAATGTCTCCCTAGTTGACGCTCAGATTGTCCACAGTTTTGGAGAAGGAGATACGACTGTTCGAGCTTTGTGGCTCGTTTTTTATGGTTATCGATTGTCAACGACTATAAAAACGAGTTGCAAGGCTCGAATAATCGTACCACCGCTTCACAAATTGTCCATTTTTGCGCACAATCTCTGCGTCAATTAGGGAGACATTACTGTATTCCGCTTTGAATTAGCGTGAGAGTAATGTCTCCCTAATTCGCGCTCAGAGTGCGCACAGAAATGGTCAATTTGGGAACAGGAGATGCAATTAGGAGATACGATTAGGAGATACCGATTGTCAACAACTATAAAAACCAGCTGCAAGGCTCGAATAATCGTACCTCCTCTTCCCAAATTGTACGGTTTTGTGCGCGACCTACGCGTCAATAAGGGAGACATTACCGTATTTTCATACTGTTGATCGTATTCGATTAATCGTACTCGATCTTCAACGTGAAACAATTCGACAATCTGTTCCGGCACAGTTTCCTTCAGTTCCCGCCATTTCATTCCCCGTGCTTTTTCTTAAACGAAGCGAGTAAAGTGTCCGGTGAAGGAAGCAGCATTCTCATCGGGTCTCTCTGTTAGTGTCGCTGCGCGACGTCTTTGCATTTGGAAGTGAACTAATTGTTCTCCTCTTCCCAAATTGTCCATTTTTCTGCACAATCTGAGCGTCAGTAAGGGAGACATTACTGTATTCGCAGTCCGCAAACAAGACTCGCCGACGATTCGAGCTCGATCGGGCTGCGAGCGTTCGATCCAAGAGGCGAAAGGGTTAAAAGATAAGATCTGAAATCCGCGGAGAAACAAAGGTAAGCGATCCATTCTCTCGTTTGTCGCCGGTACAATCGCGTCTAAAGCACGTTGCCGGATTTTTCAGAGGCCAGAAGCTGTCCGAGCGCGGGATGAAAGTGCTTTAAAACACTTCCACACGGAGTTCCTCGAAGACGACAACACACGCTCGGATGTCTCTGCGTTCCCCCGCGCAAAAACTGCAAGTTTCATCACACGTAAGTGGTATCTGTTTCTCTCCTGTCCTCCTCTTTTTGTCCGGCGCGCGAGCATTTCCAAAGGTGCGCGCGGTTGCGGACGTGTGCCATCTGCGCGAATTCTAAAATGCACAGCTGAGAGCCACATGGCTCGCTTTCACTTTCTCGAGGCTCGTGATTATCTCGCAAAAACGTCTCTCGGGTCGAAAAAGGTTCGCGGCTATTTCGATCTATCTTAGAACGCTTCGAGAAGTCCGCAGGAATTTTGAAACGGTTCAAGATATTTGGATCGATTTTAAAAAGAAGGTCGAAACATTTGATATACGTATTCGTTGGACTTCGGATTATAATTTAGACGGAACAGAGCGATCTAGCGAACAGGTCTCGCCGAATTGAGAAGTCCCGGAAAATCGGGAATTCGAAACGTAAGAAGACGCGGAAAGGAGAGCGCGCGAGGAAACGTGGAAAAAACCGCAGCGAAGCGTTGGAAGAATGGCCGGCATTTGGAGTCGCCGTTCCGGGGGATGGATCGAAAGGTTGCTCCCCCGGAGTGACCCCCGCGGTTTCCAGAGCACAGGGGTGTGTATCGATCGTCTCTATTTTCTGATCGCGAAAGTGTCACGGGCAGCGGAGAGAGCGAGAAACCGGAGACAAAGAAAACGAAAGACACGGCTCTCTCGGCGGTGTGCCCGGTCTTTTCACCGTTTTCCCGGCTTTTCCTCGGAGGACTTTGTTTTCGCGTCGGTTAACGAGAAACGCGAGGAAGACGAGACGCGGGGACAGAAGATAGTGGAAGCGAGAGGAAAATCGGAGCGGCGGCGAGAGGGTCTCGTTGGCGGGGCGGGGCTGTCGTCCGAGCGCGCACAGCTCGTTTCGTTCCGCGATAGATACTAGCAGCCGGAACGCGGGCCCGGACCAATTAATCTTATCGTTAATTAATTTCGAGGCCGGTCGGCCGCGCACCGCGCCGCGCCGCGCCGCGGCACAGGCTAAGTGTCCATCGGATAGGAAATCGATCGGAATCGGCGCCTGTTTCGAGCGGTACCGATTGCTGATCGGGCATGCGCCACCACCAGATATCGTTGCTCTCTGATATCGTTAAGGGAGCTCGGTGGCATTGTCGCGCACCGGGATATTCGACGGATTTTCCCGGCCGAAATTATTTTTCTCGCTTAGAACCGCTCGAAAATGTGTACCTGCCAACTTATTCGCGGTATTTTACCTCGCAGGAAATATTAAATCGTTGTTAATGTTATTTCGACTTTCCAGTGCATATATTTATGCATGTATTTCCATACATATATATTATATACATGCTATTTATATTATATATATATATCATATATATGCTATTTATATTATATATATGCTATTTATATCATATATGTGCTATATATATTGTATATGTATATGCATTTATATGATACATATGCACTTATTTATTTATTAATGCTTGAAGCCGGATGGTTTATTTAGCAAACGCAGGGTACTTTCCGTATTCCTACGAAACATTGTTTGAGGAAATAATAAATTATTCGTGCGCGATCTGTCCATTTTCATTGCGATCCCAACCGAGCCAGACTTTTTCGTACGAATATATCATATTTCTTCGTAGACGCGAGATGCCATCCATCCGTCCGCGTTTAAATTCAGATTTCACGTACGAAAATTCTCTCGTTTTAAATCCTTCGTCTCGCCTTCCGTGGTATGTTCGTTACACACGTGGACTGCGAATTTTTATGCGGAATACAAATTGTCCGCATAATTTAATTGCAAGAAACAGAAATTAAATATAACAGAGCTTCTCGGTTCTTTCTTTCGTCGCTTCGACGGATACAAAATAAGACATTGCCTTCGAATCTTTCGCCTGTTTTAAACCGCGATCATCCAATTTTCTCGTAAATCCGTAAAATCTAAATATTCTCGACGAATCACAATTTTTCGTGAAAATGATCGTCTCTTCTCTTTCAGATAGCGGCTTAAATTGTGGCAAAAAGATAGTTAACATTGTATGGAGCAACGGGAAGATAAGATACGATTATTTTCACGAAAAATTAATATTCGTCGAGAATTTTTTTGATGTTATGGACACTCCTGGCTGCATCCCTTCCACGCGAATGGCAGAAAAGCGCGAAGAAAATTCATGGTTTATCGTCTCGCGACCGCTTCTACAATTGTAATCGCGTTCCAGATAGGCAACTCGTTGTTTCGCCTGCGGCGGTTTCAGACGATATCGAATTTTTGGCCGGCTAAACGCGGCAAACAGACCGCCGCGCGGGCGCTCGCGCGCGCGATCGTTGTTGCGCGTAAAATCAGTGGCGCTGCGGGAGACACGGAATTACGGTGTAAGCCGGTATAGGGTCGTCACGCGATAATACTCGGCACCGCATTAATGTCGGTGCTGCCGGTAATTCCCATTTAATAATCGCGGGTCGTATGTTAACCCATCGTATCCGCCGCGGCCGGACCTAATTACGCGGCGTCCGAGCGTGTCTCTGCCAATGAACGTTCACGAGTCTCGCGGGTCTCGCTCAAATATGCTCGCGGATAATATTTTCATTAGCCGGCGGCCGGCGTCGAATTAATCAGCCGAGTGGCGACGCCGCGCCGCTCCGCACCGCTCGGCGTCGCGAGGGACGCGGACGTCTCAGGACGTCGTCGGGACGCGCGTCGGTCGGACACACGCGCGTTCTCCGCTCCGCTTCCAAGATCGAGATACATACATACATACATACATACATACATACATACATACATACGTACGTACATTCTATGGCGGATACTTTTGTCTCGCCTCCGGTCGAACGGCAGAAAAAACAATGCACGCCGGGAGAAGAGAAGAAGGAAAAATTGCGGGCCGGCAAGGTCCAAGATGCTTTCAGCAGCGCGACACCGCCGGATTCCGTCCTCTCGTCTCCCGCACCGTCGTCCGGCGCACCGTTGCTTGCGTCTCTATTTATGTTTGTATCGCGTTTCTATTTGTTCCGCGCATTCCTTTTCCTTATTTCCCTAGCGGATCGTGGTCGCGAGCAGACGGTCGCTCGATCTCGCTCCGCGCACGGCCATGTGCATCGTTTTATTCCGCTCGTATCTCCGCGCGGCGAGTTGTTTCGCGAAGGTTAAAGACCTCGGACGATGCGCCGAGCCGGCGAAACCGGCAGCACGACGACACGACGTCACGACGACATAGACGACGACAGTCGAAGCCGGAACTTTCCACCGGCTCAGAAGCTCAAGAATGAGAGAGAGAAAGAGAGAGAGAGAGAGAGAGAGAGAGAGAGAGAGAGAGAGAGATCGGTTGAGCAAAGAGGCGGACGCGGCGAATTGTAATCGGTGATCGCCGGATGCTGCATACCCGCCACCCGACTCAATTCGACTCGAGACTCGAGTCGACTCGACTCCTCGAGAACCGGGTCAAATTCTCGCGCGAAGAGAGAGAGAGAGAGAGAGAGAGAGAGAGAGAGAGAGAGAGAAAGAGAGTCGAACGAGTGGCCTAGAATCGGCCTAGAGCCTCGTCGTCGATGCCACCCTCGGCCTCCGGTGCCGGCATCAGGAATTTTTCATGACTCGAATCGAGCCCTTGCCGCCTAAGTGGCGCACCCTGCGGACCCCTAAGCTCCTCGACTCCGATAGCCGCGATCATTCCTCCCCTTTTCACCTGTTCGGTAAACCTATCGCATTCGCGCGTCGCCTCGTTGTCTCCTTCACCGTTTGCACTGCGAACAGCGTCCCCGAGGATCCGCTAAAAATTAGAGATCACGATATTTTCGACGTCTCTTGTCGGTAAATGTAAACACAGCTGTCGCATCGGAACTGTTCGATTGACCCGTTGCACTTTGATCTCTTTCTTTTTGTTACGTTGATTAACGCTTGTTAATAAATTCATAAATGGTAATGAATTGCAACAGATCAGGTTATAGTTGCGACAAAAAGTATACGTAGACCTCCTAAAACGGGAAATGTTTAATTTATCTCCGTGAAGCGTGTCGACTGCGAGTTATACGAACTAGAGATACGGTAGGTCAGAGGTACTATTTTAGGATTAAAATGCCTCCGATTGCAAATGTTTAATTAACAAATATATCTGTTAGTTTGCGAGAAGTTCGTAGCTCGTGTCCATTTTTCGAAGGTGATGTATGCAAACACTGTCGCTTAGTGATTGCCACGAGCACTGAAATACATTGCTAATTCATTATGTTCGAGACAGATGTCATTATACATGAGTTTCTGCTTTAAATACGACTCGACTAACAGGTAGAATAATATTATAATAGTAATAATTGTAATAATAGTGATAATAGTAATAATAGTAGTAAAATAATAGTGATAATAGTAATAATAATAATAATCGTAATAGGAGCAATAGTAATAGTAATAAAAGTAATAATAATAATCGTAATAGGAACAACAGTAATAGTAATAATAGTAATAATAATAATCATATAGAAACAACAGTAATAGTAATAATAATAATCATATAGAAACAACAGTAATAGTAATAATAATAATCACATAGGAACAACAGTAATAGTAATAATAATAAT